ATGCCCGCATCCCATACCCCCCCACCCCTGACCCTGAGTAATGTGCCCCCCGCTCCGGCTGGGCAGCCCCAATCCCTCCCTCTCCCATGTCCCTTCCCTACCCCCTCCCCCAACCCCAACAGACTTACCAGCTGGAGGCAGGTGTGTCAGCTGCCTATTTAGTCTATGACTGAATCACCAACTCTTTTTCCAAAGTGATTCAGATGCTTCAAATTGATTTGATGCTTTTAATTCATCTCCTGATTCAATTTGGATTTGGAGATTCAGTCCCCAAATTGGGTTGAATCTCCCCTGAATTGAATTGGCTACTGAAGCTTTACACAGCCCTAATAAATATATATGAATACAAAAAATTTACCGTACTGATAATCATTCTATCAAAAACCAAAATAGAGGATCTGAGGAATCAGTCACATAGAAGAGGACTATGCCCTAAAAAAAAAAAGGCATATACAAAATTTCTTGGGGGTAACATATCACAGAGAGTATTAAATGCATGTGTATGGGGAACACTGGACAAAGGAAAGTTCCATGCTATAGGACAGCTTTTTCCAAACTGTTTTGCCTCACGGCACACTTACCTAAATAAAAAAGCACTGTGGCCAGCTGGGCGCCAATGGGGAGGGGTGGTGCACAGCCACCCGAATGGCATTTTGGGCTGGAGCCATGCCCCCTGCCTGGCTGGAGCTACACTCCCCATCTATCTGTGTCCGCAGCAGCAGCAGGCGGGGGGTGTGGCTCCAGCCCAAAATGCCATGGCACACCTGGACATGCCTGACAGCATACCGGTATGTCGCAGTTATAGGAATGTTGTGAAATGCTTCTATGAGAACTGTAGTTGCTTAAGATGCATTTTTCATATGTACATTCCACTATTGGTGCATATGGGCCCCAAGCACTTAACTTGGAAGACTTTTGCCCTAGCAGTACCCATGCAGTGAATATGCGCACTCTCTCTCTTCTAATGCTTTGCACCAAAAGCTCATAACGCTTTGCACCAAATTTTCTTGCAGAGACTTGGTGGGATAGCTCACATGACTGGAGCACTGTCATGGATAGGTATATGATTGCTTACAGCTCCAATATGAAACTGGAGATAGGCCTGTTGAAAGTCTCTGGGTTAGGTTCAGAGAGGAAAGCAACAAAGGTGATGTCGTGATGGGGGTCTGCTATAGACCACCAGACTAGGAGGAAGTGGTGGATGAGACTTTCTTCAAACAGCTAGCCAAAGTTTCCATTCACAAGCCCTAGTTCTCATGGGGGACTTCAATCACCCTGACATCTACTGAGAGGGCAATAGAGCAGTGCACAAGCAATCAAGGAAGTTTTTGGAGAGTATTGGGACAACCTCCTGGTACAAGTGCTGGAGCAGTCAACTAGGGGTCATGCTCTTCTTGATCTGCTGTTCACAAATGGAAGAATTGGTGGGGAATGTAATAATAGATGGCAACTTGAGCAGCAGTGACCATGAGATGATTCAGTTTAGGGTCCTATGCAAAGGAAGGTAGAAGAGTAGCATAGTAAGGACCCTGGACTTCAGAGAAGCAGACTTCGACTTGCTCAGGGAGCTCATAGGCAGGATCCTTTGGGAAGCCAGTCTGAGGGGGAGAGGAGTCTTGGAGAGCTGGCTGTACTTTAAAGAAGTCTTACTGAGAGTGCAGGAACAAAGCATCCCAATATGCAGGAAGATTAGCAAGTATGGCAGAAGACCAACCTGGCTTAGCAGAAAGCTAAATCACAAAAAGAAAGCTTATAAGTGGAAACTTGGACAAACAACTAGGGAGGAGTATAAAAGTATTGCTCGGGCATGCGGGGATGAAATCAGAAAAGCCAAAGCGCAATTGAAGTTGCAGCTAGCAAGGGATGTGAAGGGGAGCAAGAAGGTTTTCTACAAGTATTTCAGTAACAAGAGAAAGATCAGGGAAAGTGTGGGTCCCTTACTGAATGGGGGAGGCAACCCAGTGACAGAGAATACAGAAAAGGCTGAAGTACTCAGTGCCTTTTTCACCTCAGTCTTCACAGGTAAGGTCAGCTCCCAGGCTACAACACCTGGCAGCACAGTTTGGAGAGGAGGTGAACTGTGGTGAAAGAATAGGTCGGGGACTATTTAGAAAAGCTGATTATATACAAGCCCATGGGGTTGGATAGGATGCACCCAAGGGTGCTGAGGGATTTTGCTGATGTGACTGCAGAGCCACTGGCCATCATCTTTGAAAACTCATGACAAGTGGGAGAGGTCCCAGATGATCAAAGCAGGGCAAATATAGTGTCCATATTTAAGGAACGGAAAAACAAGGATCCAGGGAACTACAGACCAGTCAGCTTCACCTCAGTCCCTGCAAAAAACCTTGAAGCAGATCCTCAAGGAATCCATTTCTAAGCACAGGAGAAGAAGGTGATTAGGAACAGTCAGCATGAACTCACCAAGGGCAAGTCATGCCTGACCAACCTGACTGCCTTCTACAATGAGATGACTGGCTCTGTGGATGTGGGGAGAACAATGGATGCGATATACCTTGATTTCAGCAAGGGTTTTGATATGGTCTCCCCCAATGTTCTTGCAGTCAGGCTAAGGAAGTACAGGCTGGATGAATGCACTGTAAGGTGGATAGAAAGTTGTCTGGATCATTGGGCTCAGAATGGCTTTATGTCTAGTTAGCAGCTGGTATCAAGTGGACTGATCCAGGGGTCAGTCCTGGGGCCAGTTTTGTTCAGTATCTTCATCAGTGACCTGGAAAATGGCATAGAGTGCACCCTCAGCAAATCTGCAGATGACACCAAACTGGGGGGAGTAGTAGATACACTAGAAGGTAGGGTTAGGATTCAGAGAGACCTAAACAAATTGAAGGATTGGACCAAAAGAAATCTCATGAGGTTCAATAAGGACAAGTGCAACGTCCTTCACTTAGGATAGAACAATCTATCTTTTTTCAGTAAGGGCACACTGCTGGCATATAAATAGCTTATTGTCCACTATAACCCTCAGGTCCTTTTCTACAGAGCTGCTACTTATCCAGTCAGCCCCCAGCCTGTACTGGTGCATGGGATTATTTGGTGGAGAATGCAGGTATTATTCTAGGATTATTAGCGGATTGGTAATTGGGGAGACTGTCTCTCCAGATAGAACCCATGTCCACGGCGGTGGGTGGGCCATAGTCACCCAAGGGGGTGGATTAGGATTTAGACTCGCCCAAGGGGGTGGGCAGACTCAAGGAGGGTCTGGATTTAGTTGTCACCTAAGGGGGTGAGCATATCTCAAGGAAGGGATTTGGTTGTAGAACTGCAGGGGCAGGGGCAGGGGCAGGGTCAGTTGGGAGCGCGAGGGCTCAAGGAAACTGACAGGCTTGAGGCATGTTGAGGAAAATGTCTTTGTTTAGGAAAAAAACCCCTAAGGTTGGAGCAGGAGGCCAAGAAGATAAGTGGGTACGGAGGGAGGAAATTTCCCTTCTCCATAGGGAGATTCTGAAGGCTGGACCCAGCCCATGTAGGGAGGATGTGTGCACCTCAGGCTTTTCCATAGGGGACATTGAATCCCAATTTGAAAGATTTTGCCTTTGTGAAAAACCCTCGGTTCAAAGGCAACACAGTGCCTTGGTCTGGCTGCTA